TTTTAGTGTGAAGTGTAAGTAGTAAGGGCGCATTTCACAATGATAAACATAATATACCTTGTTTAAGGGTTGGGTATTGAATAAGAATAAGGAATTTTTTATTTATCACTCTCAGATATAACTCTCTGATCGAATTGAAAGCTCTTGCTTGTTGTCTGTAGCGGTAGTATAGACTTTCATCTCTATACCGGGGTTTCTTCCTTGTTGCTTGATAGTCCAGGAGGCTTAACTAAACAACAACAAAGAAAGTCTTTCTAAATAAGATATTTGTTTGTGCTAATCTATAAGAGTCTCAATTAGCCGTTGCTTGTTCGAACAAGGAAGACGCGTAGCGTCACTTTACTCACGCACAACGGCTTCTTATTAACATATAGCGTCTGTAGCGTTAGAAGCCGTTGCTTGTTCGGTAAGGTAATAGTTGCTTGAAGCCGTTGCTTGTTGAATATGGACATGGCCTTTTTAATCTCATTCGTATTCCGATCGAAGGAAGGAGGCTAGCCCCGAAAATGCGTAGCCCGTAGGTTCGTTTGTCGTTGGGGCTTAAATGAACCCTGTGACTCATTCCTTCGGTCGAGCGTTCTTCGGGCATCGACAATCTATCACTAAATCACAGGCCGCTCTATCATTGTCTGATTTTTGGTTGTATGATCACACTCAAAATTATGTATTTACTTATCGTATTTTTGCCCCTGCTCGGTAGTTCCGTAGCAGGTTGTTTCGGACGTTTTCTAGGAAAAGAAGGAACCGCTATAAAAACAACCATGTGCGTTTCATTCTCTTTGATCTTATCTTTGATTGCTTTTTATGAAGTCGCACCGGGAGCTAGTGCTTGCTATCTAAGAATTGCTCCATGGATCTCATCGGAAATGTTTGATGCTTTTTGGGGCTTCTTTGGCGACCGTGAAGTCACCGGATGAATTGCTGAGTAAATAGATCAGATCTGGACGTGGCTGTTGCTCCGCGGCGATACGGACTCGACCTGCTCCTACCCACCCCGGGGCACCATAGCATGTCGGGAATAAGGGGGGACATACTGAACGTAACCACTCCCTTGGTTGGGGGCTGTGCCGCCCTGCATTTCGATCGATACACAGTTGAGGAGGCCGATCACGAACGCTACAGGTGTGGGAGCGATCCTGGTCAGGGAAGGCTAAGATGGCGCCTCGCATATGGGTAGCAAGAGGGCGCTTATGCCCCGACGGTGGGGCCTTATGGGGAAGGGCCCAGCCCAATAGGGACAGCACACCCCCCACTGAGCGCACCTCTGTATCGACTGAATCACTCTTTTGGTTTAGTCGGTGGAACCGGTGAACCACGCGAGCTAGTTAGATGCGTGGGGCAGAGGGCTCGTAGTACCCCCTTTGATTGATCCAGCCATTTCTTCGCTTCGGTAGTTAATCACCTACTAAAGGGGCAAGCCTGGACGCCTTATTTGAGACTACTAAGGCAGGCGGTGGACTCTTTCATTAGGTAAGGGAAGAAGGGGCCTAAGCACGGCAGATACCGTACACTTGAGTGGCAAAGAAAAGCGAGACCTTACCTTTTTTTCCAGGCCTGTTCGAACATACGGTTCCCGCGGAAGATCAAGTTGGTGAGCCGTGTGATGGGAAACCTTCCCGCACGGTTCGGAGAACACTGAGTTAGAATGAGAGGTTTACCACCACATCATTGCATGCAAGGGGAGTGATATGAACCTAGTCCAAAGTTCAAATAAAGATGGAGTATTGTCCCAAGAATGCTCTCAATGTAAAGATAGAGATGGATCGAAATACCTTAAACCTCACGAGAAACCCTTTGTCTCGAATCCTCGAAGACTTGGAAGAATCCCATTGTAGCTTCAAGTACCTCGATGATGCAATCTTCAATCAACTAGAGTCGGATCTAGTTTCCTTCGATTCAAGAACGAGTCCACGAACCTAAATCTAAGGTTGAAGAAAGGAAGATTGATTCGAGTCCACGAATCAATTTGCTAGTCGAGTCCACGACTAGCCACTAATTGAGTCCACAATTAGCCATAAGGTTTCTTACACAAGTGTAAAGAAAAACTTAAGAATTTTATTGATTTAAAGCCTCTCCAAAACTGATATGGATGTGCCCTATTTATAGGTATAGGGCAGCATTGTAATCTAAATACAATGGGAAAAAGAGTCCTAAACCTAATCTAGAAAACAAGTAAATAGAGTTTTATTTAGAAAAGGAATTAAGGAATCCTTTCTAAATACAACTAGTGTTTTCTCTTTACTTCCAAACAATTTAAAATAATGATGACCACAAATAATAAAGCTAATTTGGGCCTTGAATCTTGTGATTGGCCCAATTTGTATTCTTAATGGATCTTCATTATGTTGGGTCGCATCATCCTCCCCTTCTTGAAAAATGATTCGACCTCGAATCTTCTAAACATTGTCTTCGATCTGTGGCATCACTTGAAACGGGCCACTATAATACTTTCCTCTATCGAATGGAATTATTATTGGACTTCCTTGATTCTTCCACCAATGGTGTTTTGAAGATGTAGTTATGGACTTTTTAATGAGCCTACTATGTTCCCTTATTGGATTCCGTGTGAGCTGGTTCCTATTAGTTACTGCTAGTTTCTAAGGCGTGGTTTAGAGTATGAACGATCTGAGTCAATTGTTGCTGGTTCTGGGTCAGGAGGTCGCGGGTAATGACTCAGAGGTCCCTGGTCGTTCTCCTTATGGTGCCATTCCGGTTGTCTACAGATTCAACACCAGACGTGGGCGTAAGTTAGGGGTTTGCGCCCTTAACTGTAAGAATTTCCTATTCTAAGCACAGAATATATATTTAGGAAAGTTAAACATAACGTGGTAAATAAACTCACAGCCTAACAGCGCGTCACAATGTTCCTAGCTCGTATGTGACGAAGTACTTAGAATCCGAACTTATTGTCCTAAAGTCTTATCTCAGGGTCTTATCCTAGGGTCGAACTTAGGCTCTGATGCCAACTGTAACACCCCTAATTTTTAAAACATATAAAATCTTATATAAATAATGCAAACTATCATTGATTATCCCAAACAGAGCATAAACAATCCGTAAGAGTCGGGGTGCTATACCACATCTAGGTTTGAGAACCTGGATGCACAGGCTAGACTAACTGAACAAGGCATAAACTATAATTAGCATCCATAATACAATTCAAGGCTCACATGCCGTCTAACTACTACTAAGCTAAATCCACGGGTCCATGTAACGCGCTCCTTAGCTAAGATCGTCACCTGAAAAAACATATCGTAGCAACCTTCAGCGAATGATGCTGAGTAACCCACTCTCACGCGTTAAGTACAAAAAGTATAAGTATAGGAAATCATTTTGAAACTAGAATACATATATAGCTTTAAGCAACACTAGCTTACAAATCAGAATCAGGACTCAGAACATAATAACGGAGCGACATCACGAATACCACAAATCATGCGTCCTATGATTACAAGGCATAATAAATAGGCAAGCACATGATTAACAATTAAAGGCAAGCAACGGGATTCAATAACCATAACTTAGCAAATAAGCATCAGAACACACAATCTATCTTCCAACCTTATACCAAGTTCCAACATTTACTCCTCTCCATCCTTATATCAGTTCCAACCTGTACCTCCAGGCCACCCTTATATCGCCTCCCTTATTCATCCAGAGCAACTACATGCCCCACTCTGTAACCACCAACAAGTCCACCAACATGGTAGCACCGAAGTGTCAGTCGCATGGTTCGTGCCTCTAGCACCACTACCAAGGGGTCATCACATATAGCTCTAACATGACACCGCGGCACTTATACCCTGACCCAAGCCTTTATAGCCAGCAAGTCTAAGGGGTGGTCCGTGCCTTTACCACGATAACCGAGCACTCATTGTTCTTTTTGCCAACAATTCATTTCCACCAATCGCAATCTCATTCTCATCAGTCACATCGATCATTGTGCAATGACCACGATACCCATCATCAATCATGTAATCAACAATAACAATCAAGGCACATTAACAAATGACACATATACACACAAATTCCTAGAACAGTACTCAAAACATCATACGAGACTCATAAACATCAAACGGGGTACAACGGGACACGGGGAAAACATCCCGCCGCACACCCACTTTCCAGCGGGTGGGCGGTGGGTGGTGGACCACCCACCGGTGGGCGTCCACTTTCCAGTGGGTGGCCGGCGGGCAGGCCACTGCCCGGTGGAACTTGGGTAGCCGGGTAGCGGGTAGGTAGTGGGGATTCGTCCCCCCACTGGTACGAAGGTAGAAATCCCAGTTCGGTGTTCGTTCGTGGAACTCAAAACCATATCCAAACACATTCTAACATGTAGCAACAACATCACGGATTCAATTAACGAAGATTAAACCATGAATCATTCCAATTACGTTCTAACACGATTCCTAACCATGCCAAGACTCGACATCAATCACATAACGGTTCAGGAGCATCCGGAACCTCAAGAACATCAAGAAATCTATATGCAAAGCCCAAAAGACAAGTCCTAGGCTAGACTCAACACCCGAGCATGCATAAACCCACCCAATAACACCAAGAATATCATAACACGAGATTCACGATATAAACCCTAGGGACAAGCTGTAGACATAATTAAATACAAGATCACACATATAATCAATCACAACATCAAGATCATCAAGATTATCAAATAAACACAACATAAACCCTAGGCAAAGCTCTATCAAGACTCAATCGCAGAATCACACATCAAAGGGGCCAATAATCAAGATATAGCAAGGAAAATAGGTTTTGTAAGACATTGGTTACCTCTTAGCCCTAATCGATTCCCTCGGCTACTAAGGTTCTTTCCTATGATTCTTCTCCTAATCGATCTATCTTCCTAAGCTTGCTGGTGGGGGATTTCCTGCGAGATTTTCGAGTAAGAAGGATGTGAGGAAGGGTTCTATCTGCTTCCTAATCTTCTATTTATATATTTAAGGGAAACCTATTCAGAGTCTGGATGATAAGACCCACTTTCCTTATTCCTTACGGGCTTAAGGTTTCTAGTTCACGCAAAGGTTCACGATTCATTGAGGTCCGCATAGATTAATTAAGAGAATTATAATTGGATTAAATTCTTCTTAATTATTTTAATTAACGGGATTAATTTAATAATTAATTCGGGTTTGAAGACCGTAACACGGGGTGTTACAGTGCAGCTGCCGGGTACTGTATTTTAGCATCTTTGTTGGCAATCTTCTCCATCAAGAATTCTTCTTTGTGGTGCAGGTTTTCCTCGTGCTCTGCCATTTATTTCCAGTTCGGGGCTCCGATTGTTCGGATATTAACATTCAAACCATAACACCATTCATTGGCTAGTTCGGAGCTCCGGTTGGGGCGGTAGGAAAAGAGAAGAGATGTTGAGAAGGAGAACACATTGGAATGACAGAAATGTCCCTCATTTAGACGGTCAAGACGGAAAATTAGAGGGAGGACCAAAAGTGACACCATTACAAAAAGAGTGGCTATAAAGTGGCAAAATTTGTTATGAAGGACTAAAAGTGTCCAAGCCGCTATAAGTCTAGGACCAAAAAAGGAATTGACTCTAGGAAGATCATATCAGAGCTGCTGTTTGCAATTGTTGCTTTTTCTTATTTCAAACACATGGCTAACTAGTAAGGGTGGTAATTCGGTTCAGATTTCCAAACTAAATCGTATTCAATCGAACTAGTCCGATTCGGTAATATACTAAACAATCGAACAATAATGAATTCTTGTATACTGTACGATTCGATAAAAATCAAACCGAACCGAACGCTTGGGTAAAAAATTGAATTGAACCGACCGTTTAACTTTTTAATAATAATAATAATAATAATAATAATAATATATATTAATCTCTTATAAAGAGAATACAAAGTAAAATATATATATATATATATATATATATATATATATATATATATATATATATATATATATATATATATTTTACTTTGTATTCTCTTTATAAGAGATTAATATATATATATATATTTTATATTTTCCCAATTCATCAATTTTAAATTTGTCATTTTATATAATTTTCTTCATTTATATATTTTCCCTATTATTTAACTTCTATAATTCTCAATTTTCGATTCTTCGCTTCCGCATTATTCCGCTATATTCCTAACAAAATTGAATGATTAATTTACAACCTATTTAAGCTGCTTAACTTATAAAAGAAGTCTACTTACTGATGATTGAAAAACAATAGGGAAAATCCCATAAACCAATAAAAAATAACTTAACGCTATAAGTAAGGAGATATATGTGCACAGAAATAATCTATATATTATATATAAAAACAAAATCCTAAAATTTTAACTTCCCGCCCAATTGCTACAAAATCTCTCCTCCAAATAAAATATATTGATTTCTACTTTCCCATTCGTACAATAATTCTGCGTAAAAATAAGTCTCGTTAAAATTCTTTTCTAATATTATAAAATCACTAATACAATCTATCTATCTATACTATATATAAAAACAAAATCCTGAAATTTTAACTTCCCGACCAATTCTTAAAAAATCTCACTTCCTAATAAAATAAATTGATTTCTACTTTCCCATTCGTACAATAATTCTGCGCAAAAATTATTTTCTAATATTATAAAATAGTGTAATACAATCTATACTATATACAAAAACAAAATCCTGAAATTTTAACTTCTCGCCCAATTTCTAAAAAATCTCTCTTCTTAATAAAATATATTGATTTCTACTTTCCCATTCGTACAATAATTCTGCGTAAAAATTATTTTCAAATATTATAAAATAGTGTAATACAATCTATACTATCTATAAAAACAAAATCCTGAAATTTTAACTTCCCACCCTATTCCTAAAAAATCTCTCTTCCTAATAAAATATATTTATTTTTACTTTCCCATTCGTACAATAATTCTGTGTAAAAATTATTTTCGAATATTATAAAATAGTGTAATACAATCTATACTATATATAAAAAAAAATCCTGAAATTTTAACTTCCCCCCCTAAAAAACCTCTCTTCCTAATAAAATATATTGATTTCTACTTTCCCATTCGAACAATAATTCTGCGTTAAAATTATTTTCTAATATTATAAAATAGTGTAATACAATCTATACTATATATAAAAATAAAATCCTGAAATTTTAACTTCTCACTAATTCCTAAAAAATCTCCCTTCCTAATAAAATATATTGATTTCTACTTTCTCATTCGTACAATAACTCTGCGTTAAAAGTATTTTCTAATATTATTAAATAGTATTATACAATCTATACTATATATAAAAACAAAATCCTGAAATTTTAACTTCCCACCCAATTCCTAAAAAATCTCTCTTCCTAATAAAATATATTGATTTCTACTTTCCCATTCGTACAATAATTCTGCCTTAAAAGTATTTTCTTATATTATAAAATAGTGTAATACAATATATACTATATATAAAATCAAAATCCTGAAATTTTAACTTCTCGCCCCAATTCCTAAAAAATCTCCCTTCCTAATAAAATATATTGATTTCTACTTTTCCATTCGTACAATAATTCTGCGTTAAAAGTATTTTCTAATATTATAAAATAGTGTTATACGATCTATACTATATATTAAAACAAAATCCTGAAATTTTAACTTCCCGCCCAATTGCTAAAAAATCTCTCTTCCTAATAAAATATATTGATTTCTACTTTCCCATTCGTACAATAATTCTGCGTTAAAAGTATTTTCTAATATTATAAAATAGTGTAATACAATATCTCTCTTCCTAATAAAATACATTGATTTCTACTTTCTCATTCGTACAATAATTCTGTGTTAAAATTCTTTTCTAATATTATAAAATAGTATACAAAATCCTGAAATTTTAACTTTCGCCCAATTGCTAAAAAATCCCTCTTCCTAATAAAATATATTGATTTCTACTTTCTTATTCGTACAATAATTCTGCGTTAAAAGTATTTTCTAATATTATAAAATAGTGTAATACAATATCTCTCTTCCTAATAAAATATATTGATTTCTACTTTCTCATTCGTACAATAATTTTGTGTTAAAATTCTTTTCTAATATTATAAAAGAGTGTAATACAATCTATACTATATATAAAAACAAAATCCTGAAATTTTAACTTCCCACCTTATTCCTAAAAAATCTCTCTTCCTAATAAAATATATTTATTTTTACTTTCCCATTCGTACAATAATTCTGTGTAAAAATTATTTTCGAATATTATAAAATAGTGTAATACAATCTATACTATATATAAAAAAAAATCCTGAAATTTTAACTTCCTGCCCAATTCCTAAAAAACCTCTCTTCATAATAAAATATATTGATTTCTACTTTCCCATTCGAACAATAATTCTGCGTTAAAATTATTTTCTAATATTATAAAATAGTGTAATACAATCTATACTATATATAAAAATAAAATCCTGAAATTTTAACTTCTCACTAATTCCTAAAAAATCTCCCTTCCTAATAAAATATATTGATTTCTACTTTCTCATTCGTACAATAACTCTGCGTTAAAAGTATTTTCTAATATTATTAAATAGTATTATACAATCTATACTATATATAAAAACAAAATCCTGAAATTTTAACTTCCCACCCAATTCCTAAAAAATTTCTCTTCCTAATAAAATATATTGATTTCTACTTTCCCATTCGTACAATAATTCTGCCTTAAAAGTATTTTCTTATATTATAAAATAGTGTAATACAATATATACTATATATAAAATCAAAATCCTGAAATTTTAACTTCTCGCCCAATTCCTAAAAAATCTCCCTTCCTAATAAAATATATTGATTTCTACTTTTCCATTCGTACAATAATTCTGCGTTAAAAGTATTTTCTAATATTATAAAATAGTGTTATACGATCTATACTATATATTAAAACAAAATCCTGAAATTTTAACTTCCCGCCCAATTGCTAAAAAATCTCTCTTCCTAATAAAATATATTGATTTCTACTTTCCCATTCGTACAATAATTCTGCGTTAAAAGTATTTTCTAATATTATAAAATAGTGTAATACAATATCTCTCTTCCTAATAAAATACATTGATTTCTACTTTCTCATTCGTACAATAATTCTGTGTTAAAATTCTTTTCTAATATTATAAAATAGTATACAAAATCCTGAAATTTTAACTTTCGCCCAATTGCTAAAAAATCCCTCTTCCTAATAAAATATATTGATTTCTATTTTTCTTATTCGTACAATAATTCTGCGTTAAAAGTATTTTCTAATATTATAAAATAGTGTAATACAATATCTCTCTTCCTAATAAAATATATTGATTTCTACTTTCTCATTCGTACAATAATTTTGTGTTAATATTCTTTTCTAATATTATAAAAGAGTGTAATACAATATATCTATACTATATATAAAAACAAAATCCTGAAATTTTAACTTCCCGCCCAATTCCTAAAAAATCTCTCTTTCTAATAAAATATATTGATTTCTACTTTCACATTCGTACAATAATTCTGCATTAAAATTATTTTCTAATATTATAAAATAGTGTAATACAATCTATCTATATATAAAAACAAAATCCTAAAATTTTAACTTCCCTCCCAATTCCTAAAAAATCTCCCTTCGTAATAAAATATATTGATTTCTACTTTCCCATTCGT